CTAGTATATCTGGCAAGATATTTAATAGGAATAGGACCTTCCCATTTCTGCAGTTAAAAAGGTTGACTAAACCTTTGTGTTGTGTGTGACACTGAGCATGGAGAAAAGAATGAAGTGTAAAGAGTTGTCTGTGGATTCGAGAGAAAAAATTGTGGAAAAACATTGACAATCTCAAGGCTACAAGTCCATCTCCAGAGATCTTAATGTTCCTGTGTCCATTGTGCACAATATCATCAAGAGGTTTACAGCCATGGCACTGTAGCTAACCTCTCTGGATGTTGACGGAAGAGCAAAATTACTGAAAATTTACATTGAAGAGTTGGATACAGAACCCAGGTTAACTTCCCAACAAATTCAAGCTGATCTGCAGACACAGGGTTCAACAGTGTCAGCTTGCACTATCCGTCACCATCAGAATGAAAAGGGACACTATGGTAGGAGACCCAGGAGGACACCACTGCTGACACAAAGGCATAAAAAAGCAAGACTGGAATGTGCCAAAACTTATGTGACAAAACCCAATCCTTCTGAGCAAACGCAGGGTGCAACAGTGTCAGCTCACACTATCTGTCACCATCTGAATGAAAAGGGATGCTAGGGTAGGAGACCCAGGAGGACGCAACTGCTGACAAAAAGGCATAAAAAAGTAAGACTGGATTATTCCAAAACTTATGTGACAAAACCACAATCCTTCTGGGAAAACATACTGTGGACAGATGAGACAAAAATAGAGCTTTTTGGTCAAAGACATCTTGACACTGTTTACAGAAAAAGAAATGAGGCATTCAAAGAAAAGAACACAGTCCCTACAGTCAAACATGTTGGAGGTTCAAAGATGTTTTTGGGTTGCTTTGCTGTGTCTGGAACTGGATGCCTTGACTGTGTAAACAGTATCATGAAATCTGATGATTACCCAAGAATTTTGGGGTGCAAAGTAGTGGCCAGTGTCAGAAAGCTGCATCTCCACCAGAGGTCATGGGTCTTTCAGCAGGACAGTGACCCAAAATGCACCTCAAAAAGCACTCAGAAATGGTTACAAACAAAGCGCTGGAGAGTTCTGAAATGGCCAGCAATGAGTCCAGATCTGAATCCCATAGAACAGCAATCCCCAACCTTTTTGGGACCATGGACCGGTTGGGGGGTGTGGGCTCTGCGTGGGGTGTGTGTGTCGTGCTCGCAGAGGATGTGTTGCAATTGTGACACGCCCGTCCACGAGCGTGATGCTCCTCCATGAGTGCAACATGCCCACCCACAAATGTGACACGCCCACCGTGCAGGGGGGTGGTGGAGATTTGTCTCCGTGGCCCAGTTCCAGGAAGCCCACGGACTAGCTTATGGACCCCTGCCATAGAACACCTGTGGAGAGATCTCAAAACAGCAGTTGGGAGAAGGCATCCTTCAAGTCTGAAGTCCCTGGAGCAGTTTGCAAAAGAAGAGTGATCCAAAATCCAGTAGAGATCTGTAAGAAACTCATTCATGATCGATTTCAGTTATTTTTTTTCCAAAGGGGTGCTCTCAAATATTAAGTTAAGGGTGCCAATAATGTTGGCCAATGTATTTTTCAGTTTATATGTGGGATTGTATCAGATTTGTCTTTTCTTCTGATTTTTTGTGTTGTTCCATTGCAAACCAAAGAAACGAACATGTGAGTACCAAAACATTTGCAACTGCAACAATTTTCTGAGGGGAGGGTTGTATTTTCTGGCAGAATTGCAAGGGTGCCAATATTTTTGGCCATGACTGTAGGTGAGAGACCAGCTGCCGTGTGGCTCCTTCTCTCCCCAAACTATTGCCAGAAGAAGAGATCCTTGTAAGACTTTGAAGAACTATAAAAATTGCATCCAAGCATCGTTGTGTCTCTTGAGCCTCACAACTTTTGTGATTCTAATGTAGAAATGTATACATGGTTCATTCACTGTGTGCATATCTCGTGGACCATGGGCTTCCCAGAAAGAATTAAAATGTTAGTAGCACTAATGGGTTTGAAAATGGGCATATCTTTATTAGGTCCAGTGACCTTCAACCAGGTTATAAATGAGCAGGAAACTTAGTTTTGAGTACCTGTCCTAATTTGCTTCTGAATGCCCAAGAATTATGCAACTTTATTGTATTTATTTGCAGGTATAGTGTCTTATTGTCTCTTTATCAGATTTAAGAGTGTTTGTATACTTTCCAAATGTAGTCACTGGTATTGTATTTGACCAGTATATATTCAGCAAACTGAGTAATTTAGAGAATCTATTATTGTCCTCTTCACCACACCTATTTGTAATTTTTGTAAGATTAGCTAATGGTGGGTAGATATGAAAATATTGAACAGTGATTCTTATACTGTGCTGTGAAGGAAATGTGGATAGAATTCTCTTCATGTGCCTGATGTCTTCCCACTTGTGTTATATCATATAGCCCTTGCTTCTCAATTGCCATGGCTGCAAAATGCCCAGCTAATAAAGTACAATTAATTAATTTGAATTTAAATTTGGATAATTACTTTCCTGATATTCTAGAATCTTTTTATTAGAGTAGACTATGTCTAGATGGGCGGCATATAAATGCAATAAAGAAAGAAAGAAAGAAAGAAAGAAAGAAAGAAAGAAAGACAGTGGATAATATATTCAAGTGTATGTTTGAAGATTATGGGGTTGGAAGGCTTTTTGACAGTACAAAATGAATTCATGTTTTGTACATGAAGCATGAGGACCTAAATATTTAGGCATGCACACACTTTCCCATCTATATACCCATGTCTATCTTCCCTCCACTTTTCTTAGCAGGAAAGTAAAATAGTGAGATTACTCTTACTTCATGTGGATCTAGCTCTTCTCGTCCCTTATAGTTTCCTTTACATAGCTTCTTCCCTTTTCCCCTAGAGCCCTCCTCCTGATTGATTCATGGACATGTTGATAAAGCCAGATCTAAATAATGTAAAATTAAGGTTTAATCTTAGCATGAAGAAAGGGAAGACCTTTTTTCCATGTTTAAATAAGCGTGCGTGCTTACTTGTACTTAGACATGAGAGCTTCATATTCATTTCCTGGGGGAGATGAATACGAAGCCCACCAGCACAGGTGTCCTATTAGTCCTTCCCTGCCTCCCAGAACCAGCCTGGTCCACTTACTGGGCTCCTCTGTGCAAATGCGCACTAGTGGCAACAACATCGCACCATTCACAGATGTAGTTCTGCTGGTGCTTCCCCACCTGTCCCCTCAGCTGACCACTCAGCTTAGCGGGGAGACTTGTCTTCCCACCTCCTCACTTGAATGGCCAGCTGTGGGAACAGGGAGGGCAGTGCCTGCAGGACTAACTCTGCAGTTGGTGTGATGTCCCTACTGCCAGGTGTATGTGCACTGAAGAGCCTGGTAAGTGGACTGGGCTGGTTCCGGGGGGCAGGGAAGAACTGTCACAACATCTGTATTGGCAGACTTCGTATTTATCTCTCTTGGGAGATGAATACGAAGTTCCCACGTTTACTACTTCATAGGGAAAAGTGCTCAGAATTAAACCAATATACTGTAGTAATGTTTGACTTTTCATAGGCTTAGTTTTATTTTAATGCAGTTGATCAAAATGTATTTTCCAAAACTTCCCATTACTTAAAATTCAGTGGATTGAGTGCTGTTGATGTACTGTAAAGAGAAACTCCTTAATTTCATATGTTACAAAACAAAAAGTGCTACTGGAATGAAATAAATGATGTCTGGTCACAATGTTTCATGTATGTTTCATGTACCTTAAAACAATACTTAAACTATTAGTTGTAAACTGAATTATTATTTCAAAAATGTCTAGAAAATATAACTCAGTAGTTTGATACCTTGTTTTTAAAACGTTTCATTTAACGGCTGTTACTCTCCCTCTACTGTTAGCCTTGAGCACTGCTGTGACCTTCACATCAGTGGCAAAATGTTGACCGTAGAATTCTTAATGTGCAGGCAGTAGAGTGTGTAGACAGATGGAGCTGTTGGAATATATGATTTGCTTTCTTTTTCTCCAGAGACTAAGAATGGCACCTGAATTATATACAGATAATCTGTCCCAGCTGTATCTCTGTGACTCCCATTAGCTGCACTAGGGTTTTTATATGTGCAGAGAGAATGTATCATATTTACTTTAGGTTTCTATGTCTAGAATAGTTTTAGACTTCTAAAATACATTTTACCTTCAGAGTGAAAAGGTAAGTTGCTTCAGTTCATGCATTAAAATTACATTTAACTGTAAAAATAAGGTGTGGGTGCTTCTGATTATTCCATCCAAGAGACAGGTATCCATAACAGAAAAGCAGTAGTTTCCCCATAGCCTTAATAAAGCTGGACACCTCACTGTGGGTCACTGAAAACGTGTTAGGTGTTCTGAATTGACATTCTGATTGCTTCTTGCACACTGAAATAATAGGTTAATCTGTAAAGCTTGTGCACATGGGTTGATTGAATAACTCCATTGTGAAACTGTCATCCTTTTCCACAGTTTCAGTAACTCTTCTTCTAATAAGGGTAAAATGTTGAGATTGCCCATAGCCATCTCTTTCCTCCATTTCATTTTGAAATTGCCCTTTATTCATCACAGTTATACATTTAGGTGCATCTTGAATGAGCATCACAGAGATCAAAACTATAAGTAGCCCTTTTCATATCTGCTGCACAATATTTTCTGTGAAGGCAGTTTCTGCATTCAGCTAAAATTATAGAAGAATGTGGCATGCATGTTTACATACATGTCATCAATCTTCAGTGGTAGGGACAAAAATAACATGACAGATGTTATTGGACTAGGATTTAACCAGATCTTGCATATAGCTTGCATTTAACCAGATCCTAGCCCTACCTAGACAGAAATACTCCTCAAAGTGTGCCTCAAATCTGTTTTTTTTAAATCACTACATTAATGATTGCCGTACTATGGGGACTGAATTATTTATATTTGTGCCTCCTTTAAAACTGCTTGGTTGAGCGCACCAAGGAATGTTTGCTAATGTGCCAATAATGCTATCCCTTTCGTTCCAGAAAAACTACATGTGACCTGGGTGCACCTTCAGTTACATATGCTACTTATCGAGGGTCTACAAGGATTAAACAGCTGCTTAAGAAGCAAGCAGAATTGGAGCAAGAAGAAGGAAACCTAACCAGCATTAACAGTTCTACTACTGGGATCAAAGAAAATCAGACTGCAAACTTTCCGAACTCAGAAATTACAATAAAAACAAACCCAGAAAGTGAGGATGACAAAAAGGATTTACAAGCAAACATATCTTTGGCAGAAATGGACTTGGAAGGAAGTTCCAAGGATATCTTGGATAGTGGTGAACACAGAGAACTGAAAAACAAAAGTACTTTCATGACAGAAATGGAAACCATCAAAAATTGCATTGAAGAACTAGTTTCTGTGAAACATTCATTGGTTTCCAACACCCCAGAAGGTAATAGGAACCTTTTTCTGGAGCCAGTATTGCTACCAAAGGAAGCCAATTCCAGTTGCCAAAATAGAGATCCTGTTAAAATGAATTCAGAAAACAGCAGATTGCTTGGAGAGGGAGAGAAGATGTTAGGAGAAATACAAATGCAGCTCCAGTCAAACAGTGCTGCCATTGTTGGCTCTCAAAAAGCAATGCATATTTGTGCTTTTTCTAACAAAGAAAGAAAAGAAACAACACAACATGAATTTTCATTTCATCCCAGTGTACACTCAACTGATAATGAGCAACCATTGCTGGAAGATAAATCTTCTGCTTATAGTTGGACTGAGGAATTCAAATCAAAATCACCTAGCCAAGTATGTAGTTTGAATAATACTGTTTCGAAGGGTGAAGCAGTTGACCAAGTGGTAAATATAAAGGAAGATACACACAAAAATGTAAAAACTGAACACAAGGAACAAAACTATCAAGTTATTTTACAAGATGAACTTCCAGTACTTCTGCAAAATTCAGAATGCAAAGAAGTCACATTAAAGGTTGATGTGAATACCCCAGCGGAACCCACAGACATTGTTACAGATAGAGGCACATTCAACAAGAATGGCACAGAGAGTGAAAATAGCACTGGGTTACCGATGCATGCTGGTATGCAGAACAATTCTAACTTTTCAGTGATTTCCGAAACTGAAATTAATGATGCTGCCATAAGAAATTTGTGTGTGCCTGCTATGGAGTTTGGTCACGTTGGGATGACAGAGGTTCCGCTTGATGCTACAGAGATAAACAATACAAACACTTGTCTGTTAGTTGTTGAATATAACAATATGGAATCCCAGGTAGCATGTTCTCCTGACTTAACTGTGGTGCCAGTAGATGGGGTCATTCGAAGCTCTGAAGCTAAAGATGACAGCTGCCATCATTTTGCCAAGAGAGATGAAGCTGACATTCTGGTCAAAACATCAGGCAGTTTAAAAGTTCCTCTTCAACTGGAAAACAACACAGGAACTGCTACTACACCCAAACATATTTTTTCACCACTAAATAGCTTGGCTAAATCTGCAGAAACAAATGTTCCACTATTCAATGAAATGAGAAATCATTTGGAAAGTAAAATAATTCTTCCTGCTCTTGAAACTGAAGATGTCACCACAGTGTCTCCTACAGACATATGCCTTCCCAAGGATTCTCTTCCTGATATAAATCTAGAAAAGAATAACACCGCACCTATTTTTAATTCTCCTTCATTAACAGATTTTGTTGCTAATTCTTTCATCTTTGAAGATAACATGCATTTGGACACTGTGCCTAAAATTGTGCCTAATTATGAAAAACAGAGTTTGTTGGAGGCTTCAGGTTCTCTGACTGATAAACAAGAAAACATTAAGCAGTCTTTGAGAGCCCCAGCAGTAGTTGGTTCTGCAGAGTCTAACTGTAGCAGAGTCTCTCCTCTTGAAAACGTACCTCATTCAAAAGTCTCTGGATTCTTGTGTCCTCTTTCTGCTGCTGAATCTGAAAATCTAATTTGTTTTTCTAATGCGTCCCTGGAAGCTGGCAATACCGTTAAAAATAATATTCACTCTGATCCTGCTGAAATAAGTGACACTAGATGTGAGATTTGGTCATGCTCTGAAGAAAGAGACAACAAAACTGAATCTTGTCCAGTGCACTCCAAATCAGTTTTGGCAAAAGAAGATCTTCCCATTTCTGCAGTTGAAAAGACTTCTTCCTCTGCTACTTGCTCTGAAGATACCTCAAAATGTTGTTCGCCTGTTGGTGAAACAACAGATGTTGTTTTCTTGCACAAAATTAATTTTCTTCCTATTAAGTCTGAAAATTTTGCAGCCCAGATTTCACTTAAACGTGAATCAAACTTTTTGCCCCCTGAATCACCTTCTGAACATGCTTACCTGTCTCCATTATTACAGCCAGTTGCCTATAATGTGACAGATGTAGAACCTGTGAAAGCAGTCTTAGGAGTATCTTCCAGAACACAGGAAAGCAAAGATGTTCAAGAAACATCCTCAGGGCAACCAAGCCTTCACTCTCTTGCGGGGACTACTTCAAAAAACCCTGCTGAAATGGACAATCCAGCAGTTACTGCCTTGTCTGCAGAATTAAATGGCCCCTTCTTCGAGAAAACATTGAAAGATGTTGAAACAGAAAAGCGAGTGCAAAATAGATCTCCAGACTTAACTGTTTTGTTTAAAATAGCTGATGAACTGGTTGATGCAGTTCTGCATTTAGCCATCGAAGAATTAAGATCAAAGCAAACAGCTTGTGTCTGCCAGACTAATGACATTAAGGACAATTTATTAGAACCCGGCCTTCAAAAAGATGAGAAAACTAGAAAAATGCTGTCAAAATCAAAAGAAATCCCATCAAGGAACTCAGCTTTAATACATGTTAATGAAAGTTGTATCAGAAAGCTTGCTGGAGTTAAAGGGGAAGAGACACTTGGCACAGATAAAAGGATGTCATTTGGCATTACTGATGAAATTGACCTAGCTCTAATAGCAAAAGAAATAGTTGATGAAGTTATTAATGCAGCCAAACAAAATCTGATGTGTAATCACGAGGAAAATCTGAGTAAAACTGTTTCTCAGAATTCAGGTCTTGGGTCTAAGACCAAAGTATCAGAGGAACTTAAAACAGTCAGGGAATTAACAGATGAATGTTGTTCAGTATCCTCTGATGCAGTTCCTAGACTAATAGGTCAGGGTAAGGTAGCAAGCTCCTTCACACCTTTGAAAGAAGAAAGCAAAGATCAAGAAATAATACCAAACAATGTTTTTCCATGCCAGACAAATGGAGATGAGCAGCTTGGCCCTATAGTTGCAGTAGAACCCAGTCATACGGAAGTAGATAATAACAAAAATACTAAAGATACCAATTACATTACACATAGGACAGATGCTGGTGACAGCATTGGTAACTGGACTGCTGATAATAAATCTAAGATTTCTACATGTTCAATAAATGGGGAGGTGGTTATTACAGAAGAACAATTGTTATCTTGCCCCTTGGTGTCAGTCAGTGTGACATCTTGCACCTCAGATTCTGAGACATATACCTGCACCTCAGGCAAAGCCAAAGATGAATATGTACCTATAGGTTCCCTTGGAGATAATATGAGGAAAGTTCATCCTGAATGTATTTTCAAAGAAGTCAAAGATGCTGCATTTTTAAGAGAGAAATCACATGAAAGCTGTTATGAAATAATTGGTGAAGGAGGCTACAGCAAAGTTGAAAAATCTTGCATAGCATCTGACTTGTCTATAGCGAGCCAGTCACCAAAGACAAGCCCAAAGTCAGATTTTGCTCAGGAGGAAGAAGCAGTAGCTGGGCAAGATTTTAGTATGGCTAATGTTTTCAAAGAAAGTTATCTGGATGTTCATGATGACAGAGATGAAGCAAAATCCCCAAAGGTTTTAACTTTTTCTCCTCCAGCAGAGTGGGAAGGCAATTCTTCCTTCACAATTTTATATGAAGATGCTCTTTACAATGAAAGTGACTGTATTTCCACAGAAGAAACAGAGCATCCTTTATCTCCCCCTGATCATTCCTTGGATAATAATCAGCAGCTTGCAATGTGTGTATCGGGAAAGGGCAAGCTTGAGTCTGATCATCTTTATAAAGAAAATGACCAGTCACGTAAAATGCTAGACAACACCTGTCCAGAAACATTTCTGACAGTGGAAGCAAAACGGTACAGAGTTTACCCCTTCTCTTTATCTCCTATATACGAAGATGATAGTTCTCAAGAGGACATACATTCCACTGACATATCACCAGGAGGTCATCTTAATGAAAAATCCACAGACAGCCAATCCTTATCTGTTTTATCACTTCTGCAGTCAGTATCTGAACGACTTAAATCTAGTAACTGTTATAATGAAGAGGAGGAGGAGGAACTATGTGAAGGTAGCAGCCAGGAGAATGAGGAAGAAGCCTATATTGATAGCCATTACTCAAACAACTCAAGCACTGCAGTCCCAGAAAACATTACACAGAGTGAGTTGCTTTTTAGATGCTCACATTTTCTTTCTAGTGAAGCTCTTAACACAGAAGAGGCCTTACCTTTTAAGTCAACCTACTCGGCCCACCTTTTACAAAAATCTGATTCTAGCATCAAGTCTTTTTCCAGAAGTGCATATAGTGAACGTTTGCACAGTAGGAGAAATTACTTAGGTGAGAAAGAAAATCAGTTTGGAAGCATTTTGCTGCCAAAGGATCAGCAACCGGAAAACAGCAGCTTACAAAAACTGACAACTTCTCAAGGGGTAAAATGCTCTTCATCAACTTCATGTATATAACAAAACTATATGCATTTAACTTCATTTATGGAATTACATGTGTAACAAACCTGTAGCATGTACTTCATTTTATTTAGATATACCGTATTTTTCGCTCCATAAGAACTATAGCATGTACTTCATTTTATTTAGATATAATCTTTTGTATTCAAATGTGTGGGTGTGTTTGGGTTGACTATGTTCAATATTTTTGTTGGTTTTCTGTTTCTAAAACAGCTACAGTGGACTCTCGACTTACAGAATTAATCCGTATTAGAACAGTGGCCACAAGCTTTTGGCTTCCCGGGCTTCAAAACCCTCTCCACTGCCCTCAACGGGAAGCAGAGGGCACCGGGGATGGGAGACAGAGGGCAGTGGAGGGGGGTTCGAAGCCCAGGAAGCAAGCTTTTGGCTTCCCGGGCTTCAAAACCCTCTCCACTGCCCTCAACGGGAAGCAGAGGGCACCGGGGATGGGAGACAGAGGGCAGTGGAGGGGGGTTCGAAGCCCAGGAAGCCGAAACCGGCAGCAGGTGCAGAGCGGCTTTCGGTTTCCCGGGCTTCAAAACTCCTTCCGCTGTCCTCTGTCTCCTGTCCACGGTGCCCTCTGCCTCCTGTGGGGACAGGAGGCAGAGGGCAACGGGGACGGGAGACAGAGGGCAGCAGGGGCGGCTTTGAATTTCCTGCCCTTTCCCCCTGCCTTTCGTAGGTTGAAGCTTCGGCTGCACGTCAAGCCAAAATTTTGCGGCCAGAGCATTTTGTACCTCAAAATTTTTGTAAGTAGAGACCTTCGTAAGTCGAGGGTCCACTGTATAGCCGTATAGAGAAGTCCAGTTGCCTGTGTGGTCACACAGCAGCTTACATGACCAGGAAAGTGAATGGACGTCTCTGTCATCACAACTATGTGTGCAGTTGATTGAACAGGATACTGGCCAAAATATGTGGCCTTCATTTTTAATTGGGTTTGGTTTGGTTTATTAATCCTTTCATCATGGTTGGTGGGGTGAAATTACTTCCATAGTTCAGCTGTAGTAAAAGAAACATGCACACATCCTTGTGCTGAATACATTGTTGGAGTCCATTTCTTGTATCACTATACAGTACTATTATCCATGCTGTAGTGAGCAAGAGAAATGTTATGTGTTATGTTTATTCATCTAGTTCACCTGGTATAGAGATGATGTGTTTCACAGACTTGTGAAATGAAAGGAGGATTACCTCAATTACCAGAAGTGAAGAACACACATCTCTCTCTTGCCATTTTCTGTCATATAGGAAAGGGGACAGGAGGGACAGAAATGTCATGCATTAATCATTTACGATGTGTCATCAAGTCAGTTTCGGGCTATAGCAAGGGGTTTCAAGTCTGATCTCAGGATGCTTTCACAGGGCATAGCTTCTGCCTTTAATCAAAGCATTCAGATTAGGTTTTTCTTGAATTAATATACCAATTTTATGTTTGAAGACACTTTTGCCTGTTTCCAGCCTAGCTTATTAGTACTGGATCTCACTGCTAGTGTATAAGGATGAAAGTTAAAAAAGAGGATCTCACAGCATATTATCTGAGTTTTGAACATGATAGTGAATCTTGTCATTTAAGGAGAAAATACGTTAACACTTTGCAGTACCTTGTGACCTGAGGAAACTGGGGGTTGAGGATTGTAACCTTTTTAGGTTTTACAATGGTTTTAATGTTTGAACATTTTAATTTTGCATTTTAAACAGTTTCATTTTAAATTGTTTTAAACATCTTGTTTTCAAATGGTTTTATACTGCTCTGTAACCCATCCTGAGATCCTGTGAGATAGGACAGGCCGAAAATGTTTTGAATAAATAAAAGTAATCAGTGAGTTTCGCCTGTCAGTGATTTTTAGTGTAGACGTGACACAAGAAATGCAAAAATTATAAGCCTTCATCCACCCACTACCAATTATTTCCCCCAAGAGGCCTGCTTATACAATTAAAGGAACATGCCTCTAAAGGCATACTGCTTAAAATATCTCTTAGTGTAGTGCAGCACTGAAATAATTATTTCCTCTTCATTATAATTTCAGTGTCCTGTTGACAGGGAAAGGCTTAAATGTAATCCAAGACCCGGAAAAGTGAGTAACCGTTTCATTGTATAAGTGAATATGAATAAAGAATTGACTTCTTTGTCAGAAACATTTCAGAGAATCTATTGAATGTGGAAATCTATCCACATTTTTCTGGAATGTAATTAGCATACCTGGTGGCTAGAATACTTTTGAATTTATTCCCGAAGGCTTTCACATTCAATGGTTGTTGTAGGTTTTTTGAGCTGTTTGGCCATGTTCTGGAGGTTTTCCTTTGTAACATTTCACCAGTCTCTGTGGCCGGCATCTTCAGAGGACAGGAGTTATTGTTTGTATTGTTTGTTTGTTTGTTTATTTGTTTATTTGATTTGTACCCCGCCTATCTGGCCCACCGGACCACTATTACTGCCTTGTCTGCAGTATTAGGAAGAAAAACCTCCAGAACACAGCCAAACAACCTGAAAAACTACAACTTTTGAATTTTTTTTACTTCATTTGCAAACTTTTAACTTGAAAGCAAGTTGAGTATATGTTGCATGGATTAAAAGTGCTGACTACATAAAACAGGGAGCAGAACATATATGTAAATATATGTACATCAGTGTTTTGGTTTTGTTAAGGAACTAAATATTGTAGCCTTTGATTAATGTCATTGCATTGTATTTCAGATGGTTATTTGTGGTGTTTACGGCAACATAAAGAAGCATGAAATTTACCATGATGTGGTAGATGCTACAGCATGGGTGTTGTCAAAAGAAGTATTGATCAGAGTTGTTAGAGGATGGTAAGAAACATGTATTTTTATAACTGAAGGCCTCTAGCTTACTGTAATTAATGACACTGGCTTTGATTTTTTAAAAATAATATATTAATAGGAATATTTGACAGATATTTAACAGCAGGAATAGATTTAAATATCCATTTAACTGTAGTCAGTTTTGACTGTAAAGGAGGAGTCTATAGTTAGTAATACTTATTTAATACAATGGTTTGAATATTTGCATTTTTGAATATATGCAGATTGTCATCTAAGAGAGTAGAAACGTCTTGAAAATTGGCATGTCTTTAAGTTAAAAATAATGTCTTACTAACTAAACAATAGAAAGAAAAACTCAGTTGAAAGAATGAAAAACATGTATGATGTTAATTACAAGAATTGGCAAAATCAATCACATTTGATGTTTGTGAATATATTTGGAAATAATTTTCCATTGTGGGTTAGCATGTAACAAATGTTGCTTAAGAAAACATCTAAATAGCATATATAACTTGAGAGACTAAAGAAAATAGCAGAGTTGATAGCCATAGTGGTCGTAAGACCAGATGGGCGGGGTATAAATAAAATAAATAAATAAATACAAAAAAGAGAGAAGAAAAGAAACATGTTATGTTCTTCAAATAGATGGCCTGACATGTTATATCAGGCCATCTATTAACATTATCATTGTTTGCTTCACAGGACAAACATTTTTCAATGAGAGTTATTAATTCATCCCATTTCTCATTCCACTTTACAAGTCCCTCTCCCAAGCCTGATGGGAGCTGCCGTTCCCCCAGCTGATCAGTATTTCTCTGTTTTAAACTCACCTTTTCTTCAGCTTCTTTACTTAAATTGCAATCTGTGCAAAAACACATGCAGCACATCTGATAGACTACAAGTGCTGGAGTAGCCTCCAGCAATCACTAATTACATAGTTTCCTCAGCATGTTCTGTATACATGCTTTTAGAGAACGGTTGTGCAAGAAACGTTTTTATGTTCTTGAACCAACGACAATTTCATTGAACTGGCCATGTCATCAGGATGCCAGATGGCATTGGATTTTGCTAAATTTCCTAAATGCTGGTCCGCAGATGTTCTTGAGTGTAAAATTTTCAGAAGCTTTCACCACTAGTTGTGCTCGCCAAGATTTTGAGAGCTGTAATCCAAGAACATCTGGGGACCCAAAGTTGGAAACCATTGCACTAAAGACGATATTGATGGAATTTAATATTAATTGTCTCCTTTGACCAAAACATCTGGTGAAATGTTGTCAAACAAGGAGCTGAACATTTTGAAATAAAAAGAACCAAGGATGCACAAAGGAAGAAGAAAATGAAAAGGCAAGGGTGTAAAATCTCAGTAGCCCAATAAAGTCAAGATCAGTTAACGTGACCCTACTGTTTCTGTATCTTCCAGGCATGGGATGCGCTAGTTAGTCATCTGCATGGTCACCAAAACCTTAGCCACTCACTTCTTTTTTCTCTAAATTGTGAATCTCATGGAAATTGTTGTCTTTGAAAATGAAGGACAAACTATATACAACAATACTGTAACAATGCAAATCTATAGAGTGTGCTTAGAAAACTATATTTTCCCCAGTGCTTTTAATTAGTCAAATAAGCTGCTCAGGAACACACTTGACATGTTTTGTTGTTTAGAAAGGGACTGAAAAAAACACATTTTAAAAAGAGACAAAGAGTGAGTTGTGCCAAGCAGTGGAATTAGCAACAGGCAAAACCCCTGTTTTACACTACAAATATATTTTGTATATTGACTTGCACGGTAAATTACTGGGGTTGATTGATATGGAAGATATACATATCAGAAGGAGCAGTTCTGACAACTGATATATGTGAGAGAATATTTATGAATGGAAATACAAACTTTTGGTTCCTGGCTAAAGAGCTCCTGTTGTGTATTTATGGGACTAAATGTGAGAGTATTAGTAAGAGCTGAGTGTTAGTATGAAGTGTGGGTTAATGCTGTTAAAGGTGTTAAAATTTTGTTTATAAAGTTGTGTGTGAGAGAGAAAATGGAAGGATTCAGTTGGGCACTCATTCTGCATTTGTTTCAATGCTTTTGTGGCAGAGTATATACAAAAATGTTGAGTAATAAAAAGGAACAAGTGCTTCTGTTATAGTTGTTGCAATGGTAACTGTGTGGCAGCTTATTTATATTGTAATATTTTATTAATATAGCTGGGTTTTGTATGAAAAACCAAGATACCAAGGTCAGAAATATATTCTAGAAGAAGGAGAGAAGATGCTAAGTGATATCCTGAATCTTCACTGTGAGGAACACCAAGGAAACATCACCATTGGTTCAGTCAGACAAATAATGAAGGTGTGTACTTTGCTGTTAGAGAATCAGTGTAGTGTAGCAGCTAAAATGTTAGACTAGGACTCAGGAGATCTGGGTTCAAATCCCTGTGATAAACCACTCCTTGAAAATCTCATGTATTTTGAAAATTCTGATAAGGTTGCTGTAACTTGTAATTGAATTGTTGGAACATGACATTTTTATGTTAAGTGTTAAAAAGCAAATGCTCTTTTCACTGGCAAAAATGCCTTACTCCTTATTCTTGTTGTTGCCTCTATCCTCTTTCTACTTTCTACAGTTTCCTGATCATTGAAACTTTACAGGGAGCCTTATAGATCCAGCTATTTCTCTCAGCTTTTCAATACCACTTGTTTCTATTTCTGTACGTCAGACTTTTCTTCCACTCTCTTCCATATCAGACCTCTTTGCCAACTTATGTTCTTTCCTTCAAGTAGATTTTTTATTGCACTTAAAACTTAAAACTGGCATATCTGCTTGTTCTTTAAAAATAAACATGTAAATCAGCAACTTCCTGACCTAAAGTGCTTGAGATTAGAGCCAGTCAAACATTTAATCACTACTAGAGTTTGTGATGTAGTAATCAAAAATATATAGAGAGATAAAGTTAAACAAGTATATGTTGAGAATATTCCTCAGGAGAACTGTTTTGTATGGCCAAGAGGAAATAAAACTAAAAGCAGAAAATGAGATATAAAATCAGAAAAATGAGTGGTGAAGGAAATTAAATGGAAAACTAAACTAAGTATTCTTGTTTGCTTGCTTCTTTGTTTGTTTGTTTGTCTTCTATACTGCCCGTCAGGTTGTCAGGCCACTCTGGGCAGTTTACGTATTAAACATGAACAATTGAAAACAATAAACATAATAGTTGTAAAATTAAAAGAAGGACAAACAAGCAACATTTTAAGTAATATTAATTAAAATAATATAAAATATTATAAAAGCAGGACAGCAGGACTAATAAAATAAAATTTAAGACCAATCACTTTATTAAGGTGTTGTAAGGTCCGGAAAGGCCTATCAACCCCCCCCCCAAAAAACATGTTTTTAACAATTCCTTGAAAACCCCCAGTGAAGGGGGCAGGTGAATTTCGGGTGGGAGGTTATTCCAGAGCTGATGAGCCATCACCGAGAAGGCCCAGTTTTTGATTCTCTCTTTCCAGACCTCTCTCGGGGTCAATACTATTAACTGCCCAGCATGGGAAGATTGTATAGGGTGGGCACATCTCATTAGGAGGAGGCGTTCTATCAGTAGGTATAGAATAGAAATTTCAGAAAACTAGGCCTTAATTTCAGCCAGCCTTTGGTTTTACGGTATAAAGAAGACAAGCCTGTCTTCTTTATATGGTAAAACATGGGCACCTATAACTTGCAAATTGGTATGATAGTTATGTTGGATTAATCGATCTTGTGCTAAAGTAGAAAGATCACTGAGACCATGCTAGAACCTGTTTTCATACTTGCATATGGATACTTATTGATCAGTCCCTATTTAGGGAGCTGTAATTATTCCAGATTATTTCTAAGTTATCATACACATGTAGTCTGCTTGTTCATGGTTGTTGACTATTAGCCTAAACACAGAAGAAATTTTCCATTATTTCTGAAATTTAAATTGTTGGCGAGCAAGTGGTGAGTGGCGAGCAAAGCTCAGCCTCCTGTCAGCGTGCTCCTATTAGGTTCTAATGTCGCTGCTGATCTGATAGGAGGCAGAACTTTGCTCCCCATTCCCTTCTTGCTGCTGCTGCTAGATCAGCTGTGCCTGTAGAACTTTGCTCCCCAATCCCTTCTTGCTGCTGCTAGATCAGCTGTGCCTGTGGCATTAAAATCTAATAGGAGCCTGCGCTCCCTATTAGGTTCTAAGCTGCTGCTGTTCTAACAGGAGACAGAGCTTCAATTGTAGCTCCCCTCCTGCTACTGCTCGCCGCTCATCTGTCCCAACACAATACATGTAATTTCGATTCAAAGCTATCCTACATAAACCTACTGCATAACAAGTACACAGACACACACACATGCAGTCCTTGGGAGAATGGTCTTCAACTAAACTGGTCCTTAGTGTCAAAAAGGTGGGGACCACTGGTATAAAATATCTGGAGGTCACTAAGTTGTTTACTCTTTCCAAAGCAAGCAGAATTCCATAGTTGGGGGGCAAATAAGGCTGTCTTGGCATCAGTGGCAGCTAGTCTGTTAGGGCAAATGGAATACTAACACATGTGAAATTTGGGTTTCCCCAGCCAACCCATTCTTGCCTTCCTCCTGACTTACCACACGCACACACCGCTTTTCCCTGCTGAACCCTCAGCATATTCTGTGTGACTGTGTGGATGGAGGAAGGCAAATGAAATTGAAATAATGCATGTGCTTTAACAAGTTAGTTGCCCCCTGTGACCAGCTTTTGAATGCAGGCATAGAGGCAAGCAGCAGTAGATTGGAATTATTTCCCTGTGGAAGGAAAGCCAATTTTTATGCTCCTCAGCTGAGTTATGTTGTGGAGGGAATTAATGGGTGGACATGTATGTCTGAATGCTTGCCTGCCTATGTGGGTCGGTCAGGAAGGGTGACAGCACCTGTGTGTATATGAATACTCATTTATTTCCCCAAGTCTTCCTGTCACCCCACCTCTGTCCACCATTGTCTACTTTGTCTTCCACCTCATTAACACAAATGACATGCAACAGCTGTGGCAGCTTCTCAGCATCTCTACCCAAGAGGAATTTTAGAGTACCAGTTGAATTTCACCTTAGGCAGAATTAAGTGACAATAATAACTAGTATCCAGTGCTTCAGACAATGTATAAAAGGTGGCTTAAATCACTATAGTTTAAGTCTACTGTTACTTAATAGTCTGCTTCAAATAGTTTTCAGGGGCACTTTGGTAATTCTTTCCAGTTACTTAGATGTTCTCCTCTCATAGACTGAAATAAATAGGGTCAAATTGTTGAGGCTTTTCTAGAAAGAGCATGCTTTCTAGTTGTGTAAGTTCTTTTTTCTTCAAGCTTATGAGCTCAGCATAAAGGTAGTGATGAAAATCATAAAGTGAATTTAGAAATAAAGATATGTTAAAAAGAGGTAGGAATCAGAGTTTGTGGACCTTGGATTATATATATTGTTTTAATTTATGGAAATATAGCCATGTTAATGTGCACCATAAACCACAGATTGTCTTGTAACACTGTAAAGAGTAACAGATTTATTATGGCATGATATTAATAATTTATTTTTTATTTTCTTGCTCTCTTTTTTCTTTTTAGTATGATTTTTTTAAATCGCCATATTCTTACAGTCTGATTTGTGGTTTTTTTGCACAGGATTGCAGTGTGCCTGAGATTCAGCTTTATCCACAAGATGGTTCAGATTGTTTTGCTATCTCCATTCAGAGTGCAGTTACTGATGTAGGGGAACTAAGAGTCAGAAACCCTGCTCTTTCTGTGAAAGCAGGAGTGTAAGTATATATATTAAAAAGTCTGTGGACAGTGGAATGACATAGCAAATAGGACATCAGCAATTTCTGGCTAAAGCTAAAAGAGGAAGCAAAATAATGTGTAATTTTTGGCATAAAATTTAGAAGCGTATCCTTCAAATGAATTTGTCCCTAATATCAAATAACCACATTTCAGCAGGCCTTTCCTGTTGCTAGTAGTGTAAAACAAACAGGTTTGACAAGAACTGACTCGATTTCCTAAGATTTTTCTCATATTGGGTGTGACTATGGTTGGACATTTGTGTAGCAACCTTGTTGTCCTCTTCATCAACTGCTTCTGCACCTTGTTTGCCATGATTTTCCAAGGACCCAGATTTTCCAAGGTTCTTCCTTACATGAAGAATCTACATGCAAGTAGGATCTTGTCCTCTTGAGACTTACTGCTGAAGGATAGAGAAAGTGAAGATGGAGGAACTGAGCCAAGAACTCCCCTCTAAACAACTGATGCAGTAACACCTGCATAGGCTCGAATCTGTCAGAACTTTCTGCTGCTTTTTGCACCTGTATGACCTTCTGTGTCTGCAGTTCCATCTGCTAAGTACTGTTAGTTATGTGTAGTCAAGTGGGATAGTGTAGTCATAGGGTTTTCAAGGTGAGATACTTAAGGATTTCCCCCCCTCAGTTACAGTCCCCCAGTGAGTTTCCATGGCTGTGCAGGGATTTCAACCCTGGTTTTCATTCTTAGCCAGCACTCAGCGTATCCTTCAAATGAATTTGTCCCTAATATCAAATAACCACATTTCAGCAGGCCTTTCCTGTTGCTAGTAGTGTAAAACAAACAGGTTTGACAAGAACTGACTCGATTTCCTAAGATTTTTCTCATATTGGGTGTGACTATGGTTGCACATTTGTGTAGCAGCACTGAGATGTGTATTGTTGGGCCTTTTAAAGCCGCCTTGTTGTCCTCTTCATCAACTGCTTCTGCACCTTGTTTTCCATGATTTTCCAAGGCCCCAGATTTTCCAAGGTTCTTCCTTACATGAAGAATCTATGTACAAGTAGGATCTTGTCCTCTTGAAACTCACTGCTGAAAGATAGAGAAAGTGAAGATGGTGGAACTGAGCCAAGAACTCCCCTCTAAACAACTGATGCAGTAACAACTGTATAGGCTCGAATCTGTCAGAATTTTCTGCTGCTTTTTGCACCTGTATGACCTTCTGTGTCTGCAGTTCCATCTGCTAAGTACTCTTAGTTATGTGTAGTCGAGTGGGATAGTGTAGTCACAGGGTTTTCAAGGTGAGTGAGATACTTAAGGATTTCCCCACCCTCTCAGTTACAGTCCCCCAGTGAATTTCCATGGCTGTGCAGGGATTTCAACCCTGGTTTTCATTCTTAGCCTAGCAGTCTATCCACTCCACCACACTGGGTACCCTCACCAAGTAGCCTAATTATCTACATATCCATGGGACTAATTTCTTCTTATAGAGCCAACACACTAAGACAATTCTAGGCTATTTGCCTAATCATGATGCATAAATTAGGGCTGTTGTAATAGTATCCATAATAAATAAATGAAAATGACTTGTTCAGAGGCAGTGCTCTTGGTGAATACCAACACATTGGGATTAAAAATATGATTGTTTTCCTTCAGCCGTTTTTGGTGGACTGTTTTTTTGAAACATCTTAATGGCCACCATTGGAGATTATATCAGTAATACAGGATAGCCTTGCTGGATCAGTTCATTTTGCAGATTTATCACTGTTAATCACCCATTTTCTTTTCACTGTAATAGATGGCTTGCTTATTCAGATGTTAATTACAAAGGAACAATGATGGTTTTGGAAGAAAATCATGGTTCATGTGAAACTTCAGCAGCTGACATAAAATCCCTTCGTCCACTGAAAATGGTAAAGAATTGACAGAGGTTTTAAAAAATCATTGTCACACCAATCTGTCTTTTTCCTACTATACTCTTGCATCTGTTTCTGAATCCATTCAGGGTATAAACACAGAGTATGGCTTTGGATCAGTGCACCATATTATGAGTCCCAGTACAGTGGTGCCCCACATAGCGATGATAATCCGTTCCAAAAAAATCGTCGCTATATGGGTTCGTCGCTATGCGGGGCAAAAAAGCCCATAGGAACGCATCAAAACACGTTTAATGCATTCCTATGGGCAAAAAACTCACCGTTCTGTGGAAATCCTCCATGAGGCTGCCATTTTCGCTGCCTGGTAAGCGAGGAAAGGGCACAAAAACACTGCGAGCGGCCATTTTCTTTACCCAGCGGCCATTTTTGAACCGCCGATCAGCTGTTAGAAAAAACATAATTATGCGATAATCAGTAAGCGAAACGCTTACCGATCATCGCAAAGCGATGTTTTACCATTTAAAACATCGTTATGCGATCGCAAAAACGATCGCAAAAACTCAACCGCTATGCAGATTCGTTGTTAAACTAATTGCTCGTTATGCGGGGCACCACTGTATAAGCAAGCCTCCAAGGATTCAAGTGTCTTTTTCCTACTATACTCTTGCATCTGTTTCTGAATCTATTCAGGGTGTAAACACAGAGTATGGCTTTGTATCAGTGTACCATATTATGAATCCCAATATAAGCAAACCTCCAAGGATTCAAGTATTGATATCAAAAACTAGATCTGCAAGTTTTTCTGGTACCCTTTGATGCAAATCATCTGACATTCAGATTTCACATACTTTCTAATATGTTGATTTGTCTTACGTTTTTAGGGAGGCCTAAAAGTGCAGATGCCTCATAATGTTAAAGTAAGTATGGAGCATGTTATCAGTAATTAATTTGCTAATGCTAACAAAAGCTAGATCTGCAAGTTTTTCTGGTACCCTTTGATGCAAATCATTTGACATTCAGATTTCACGTACTTTCTCTTTTTTTCTCCTTTCCCCCTTAACCTCAATCCCTTTTTCCTTTCTGTCACCCTTTGTTAAAAAAATAAAATTTAAAGATTTCACATACTTTCTAATATGTTGATTTGTCTTACGTTTTCAGGGAGGCCTAAAAGTGCAGATGCCTCATAATGTTAAAGTAAGTATGGAGCATGTTATCAGTAATTAATTTGCTAAAAATAAATGTTAAAGAATAATTTCCTGTTAGAAACACATTTTACTTTTCCCCTCTTACCTATTACATATGAGAACAGATAGTAGGGGATGCTCTGACATGAAGCTTACCTGTACACCTTAATATCCCTCATCCAATTTCCAGGCAAATGTTTCCTAGAGCACACAGTAGCTGGGAGGGGGGGAGGGAGGAAGAGGAAAAGCAGCAAAGAAAGAAAGAAAAAGTTGTCCTTCCACAAATAGAAAGATATTTTCCATCACAGCAGAGGCTGCAATCCAGCAGAGTCTGTCACTGGAGGAGGAGGAGAAATGGTTGTTCTATTTCATTCTTCCCCAAATCGCTTCTTTTTCTGCTATAGGGCATTCTCCTGCTCTTTGGAAAAGGCTGTCTGTGAGCACAAGAGGAAGTAAAAGTTAGATAGAATTGGTGAAACCCACTCCCCTCTTCTTCCCTGTGGGAGGGTCCCACGAGGAGGAATTCTAGATGGGCCAAATTGGGTAGTTAGTGGTCCAAAAAAGGGAATAACTATCAGATTCTGTGCTGCATTTGATTTGAACATTTCAGGCAGCTGTGTTTTGCTATCAGTAGAGAGCATACATAGCATCAAAAAGAATTAAATGAATGGAATAGGTAATCTAAACTGTATATTACAAGGGATGTTTTAAAAAATCTCATAGAACACCTAGTAATTAGACCTAGGATTTAGAAGCACCTTTTAATTGACCAACTGTCCTGCCCTCTGCAGATGATAATATATGAAAAATCACACTTTGGAGGATGGTGTAAAGAGATCTCTGAAAATACTGATTGTGTTCCAATGGTCCTTGAAAATGCTGGTGATTTCCAGGGAGTTGGATCAGTACGTGTCATTGGTGGAATGTAAGTATGATTTGATTCCCTTTTAGATTCTATTCTACACGTTCCAGATGAATCCCACATTGGTTCTAATTCTAGTGGCGTGGGAAATCGTAATGCACCTGACCAGTCTGTGCCCTGAAACATCTTATAGTGCTCAATAATAAATTAATGTTCCACTTCTGTATTGTACAAAAATCTTCCAGGCCCGCCTAGAACAGTGTTTTAAAAAAATTAGATTTAAATTGTTTATTTCTATAAATAAAATGCAATTACAACAACAAAGCAGAAAAAGCCATTAGTGTTACAATATACAGGTATAATACTTGGATAAGCACAAGGCCTTTACCTGCCCCGTAACAAAGCAAACAATAGTCAGCCCAGAGTACCTTTCCTGGACAGACTGCTACAGAGATAGGATGCTACAGCCAAAAAAAAAACACCTTTTCCCATTTACTGTTTGCCGTGTTTAAGGGCAGTTTGGAAGAGTGCCTCAGAAAAGATCTCTCTGCTTACCATTATGTTGAGCAGTCCCTTAGGTGCCCTAGTCTTGCACTATGTAGAGCTTCGAAGGTTAAAATGTTCTGTGCTAAAAGATGTCATTTTAAAACTAATTAATAAATACTTATATGCCTTTTCAGCTCTAAATAATTATAGAGTTCATCTTTTTGAAATATGGAAAGTGATAATTCTGATGACTAGAGCATTTAATGCATAGAGTTGGATAAAGTGATGGATAATTTAATATTTCTGGGTTTTCTGCAATCTTCATGTGTTTCAAAACTGGGCAGGAAAAAATAATAACTGCATGCCATCCAGTCAGTTCTGACTTACGGTGACCCTTTCCAGAGTTTTCCAAGTAGAGAATACTCAGAAGTGGTTTATCATTCCCTTTTTCTGGGAGCACCCTGGGATTGTGCAGCTTGCCCAAGGCCACACAGGCTAGTTCTTTTTTGCAGGAGGCACAGCAGGGAATCAAATTCCTGACCTCTGGCTCCACAGCCTGATACCTAAACCACTGAGCTATCCAGCCAGAAAAAAGGGACAATTCCGAATTATTTTGAAGTGGAAAATCCTAGATTTAACAAGTAATGATTCTCTCACTTGCACAATTGTTTGTCTTTGTATTTAAGTAATATTCATTATTGAGATGATTTAGAACAAATACTGAAAGTAAATCCATTTTTGACACTAAGTGGTAGCCTTTATAGAATTTGTATACAGATAATGACTGCTAGAGAGATTCCATCTAACTGGAGGGATGATTCTGTAGCTTTTAATGTTGTTAAAATTTGCACATCTCATTGATCAGCAGGGGTGAAGAGGATCCCTAAGAGGTTTTTGCTGGGTATCCTCAAACCTTGCCTGGGGTGGATGTGTTTGAACTTCCCCAGTATTAGTGAAGACATTGTAAAAAGAGCAGCAGCACTGTTAGCATGATTTTGTTCATCCTGCATTTCCAAACAAGTCAAAAGAAAATTGGGTTGGCATGTCCTATAAGTATGCAGTTTGCCTGTTCACCTTGGAAGCTCAAGCTCATACAGCAGACTGTAGGCTGAGAGTTAGTGATGGTGATCCATCATACTCCAAAACACTTATGAAAATAAAAACCTACTGGATGTCACACACTATGTCATAAACTTCTGTGTATCACCTTGAGCTGCTTGGATTAAAGGATGTACCGTTTCCCTGAAAAAAAGACAGGGTCTTATATTAATTTTTGCTCCAAAAAACACATTAGGGCTTATTTTCAGGGGGTGGTGTTTTTTTTCATGTACAACAATCTACATTTATTCAAATACAGTCATGTCATCTTCTTCTGGTTGCTGCACAATGGTGGAGGGTGGGCGAACACTTAACATGGGCTTTTTTGGGGGGATAGGGATTATATTACAAGCATCCTGAAAAATCATTATTATGCCTGTTACACCTTAGCATCATGTGCTCAATAGATTCTATCTCGCCAGAGCCACAAGGGCAGAATCTCTGTTCCCTCGGGATTTTCTTAAATCTGCCTTCCAACACCGCAGAAGGGAAAGCCTCGCATCTAGCCAGAGTAAAGGCTTTCCTAAACTTGTACGTTTCCAACTGTGATAGGTAGATGCCCCAAGCTCATACAGCAGACTGTAGGCTGAGAGTTAGTGATGGCGATCCACCGTACTTCAAAACACTTATGAAGATAAAAACCTACTGGATGTCATGCACTATGCCATAAACTTCTGTATATCACCTTGAGCTACTTGGATTAAAGGATGTACCGTTTCCCCGAAAAAAAGACAGGGTCTTATATTAATTTTTACTCCAAAAAACACATTAGAGCTTATTTTCATGGGGTGTTTTATTTTTTTCATTTACAACAATCTACATTTATTCAAATACAGTCATGTCATCTTCTTCTGGTTGCTGCACAATGGTGGAGGGTGGGCGAACACTTAACATGGGCTTTTTTGGGGGGATAGGGATTATATTATAAGCATCCTGAAAAATCATACTAGGGCTTATTTTCAGGTTAGGTCTTATTTTCAGGGAAACAGGGTACTAATGTAGGTGGATGTGTGTTTTGACCCTGACTTTTTCATAATCCATGAAAGGTAAACTTCTAAGCCTGTTGCAGTACAGTATGGTTTTGGTATACTGGTAGCATTATTGCTGGGAAATTCATACTTTTTCCCCTTGTATGTTGTGACAATTACAGATGGGTTGCTTATGAGAAGGAACGATATAAGGGCCAGCAATACCTGTTAGAGGAGGGCGAATATGAAGACTGGCATTCTTGGGGTGGAACGAACAACTCTTTGATGTCTCTTCGGTTTTTGCAAGCTGTAAGAAGTGCTTTTGGTCTGCAGGATTTATTTGTTCTTTCTTAATTCTTGCTTAATTTTTCTGTTTCATCAAAATCCGTTAATTAAGATAGTACTGTTCACAGCTGCATGAGAGTTTGGGATAGAAAGGATTGGTTCTGAATTTCACGTATCTGCAAAATTCATTTGTTTTCCCTCTTTGCATTTCTCATTACTTTTATTCATATATATCACACATACCCCCTTGGATACACAACTAACTGGGATGCTTATGGAAACTGAAGAGCACAAGGCTTGCATTTTCACTTTTTTATGTAAAAGATCCTTTTCAGGCATTTTAATTGTGGGGTAAAAATCAAAACTGGAATTATTTTGCTTAGTACTGTATTTCTAAGCCTTGTAATTGTATTTAGCAGATTAATCTGTGGATCAATTTGGGTGGGTGGTGGCACATTAAATGTTTGCTTTTTTCATTGCAACTCAGATTAACAAAGAGCATATAATTCTCCTCAAAGTGAAATTTAATCAATTCTATAAGCAACATAGGAAAAATGTTACTTAAAGATGGGTGGCTGAGTTTGGCATACAACTGAATTGTGTCCTATCCATGATGTAACTGTTAATTTGATTTTATCATTGTTCTTGTTATTTTTACAAGGTTTTGTGGCTTTATATGCATAAAAAGCTCACCCTAAAAGGCAGCCTTAAGTCTTTTAAATACAATTTGCATAGACTAAAGTAGGAAGAACATAAATGGGCTTTGTATTTTAGCATCCTGATCCAAGAAGATGATACACAGGTAGAATCAGGCCACTGTATGTGTATTAGAAATCTAAAGGATAAATCAGATGTGCACCTGAATGTGACATATACTTAATTGACGGGGAAAATGTTTTTGTGTTTCAGTGAGGCACACTTGAATATGCATAGCTCTCATTCTCTGGATTAAAGTGTAGGAACTATGTAAGGAAAAAGGGTTATAAGGGTTGAAATAGAAAGGCAAGAGACATTGTGAGCAAAAATAAAAGTTATTCTCAAATGAACTTCTGAATCTCCCAGCTGCAGTGTCAGCAGCGACCCCAGGAAAACCAGAGTCTAATGCATGGCATACCCCCCCCAAAAAAATCTTATTTATGCTGTGCATCGTTCTTTTTGGAGACAGATTGACATACCCATTTTTCTTGCAAAGCACAAAAAACTATGAGTTCATAGGTGAAACCTGATCCACTAAGGGTTTCTTAAGATGGCTAAATTAAGCACCTGTTTTGTTCAATAAAGTTCTTTTTCTGAAAAAAGGCTACCATCCAATCATTATTTCTACATAGACCCATGACATCATGTGGGCATTCAACTATTGCATATATTTGGAACTGAACACTGAACTTTTACAATTTCTTTACTAACCATAGTCTTAAAACTCTTCTAGATTCAAAACAGGAAGAAAAGTACCACTTAAGAATAGGATTTATATATCTTTAGTAGTGACTGAATCATTATGGATATTAAAAGGCTCATCTTCCACATAGAATCTAATATTCTAGGAATATTAGAGGACAAAGTTGCAGCCAGCTGCAGGACTTTTGTATAAAAGCCTGTGTCAACATAATTACAACTGCTGCAGTGGTAATTATAATTCTGACCAGAAAAATACAGACTTGCATCTAGTTAAGGAAACTGTAAATTGATAGTTGCACCAGGACTGTCCAGATAATCTGATGAAAATATCCCCTTTATTCCAAAACAGAGTCAACTCTAAATGTGTATGTAAGACTTGGCAACTGGTTTATGATTATATTGTATATAAAAAGTGAGGAACTTGACTAAATTGCTTCCTGATTTTTATGTTTTAAATTCCAGGATTTTATGGATTCTGAAGTAACACTTTCTAAAACAGGTGAAGATGATGGGAAATTGTTAAATATTGTCAACCAAGAAATTCCTGATTTGGAACTGGCTGGATTTGGTTTAGTTACAAGATCAATTAATGTGAAAAGTGGAGTGTAAGTTGTATTTCAGATGTATGTGTGTTTTGAAGTAATTAACTTCCCTGTGTTCTATATATTAGTTTTTCTTTTTGGTTGTTAAATGAAGATTTGAGTTTTAAGTGGTATCTTGCAAATATTCACTTAGAATTAACTTCTATATTTCAGCCATGGCTTTACAAAATTTGGGTAGTAAAAATAATAATTCTGACGTTGAGAGCAACTGTAAATACTAACTCAGAGTTAAATAGATTAGCTCTAAACTTTAAAAAAAACAGCTGCACTCAGATGCTAAGTTTTTCTTAGTTGTACTTACTTGAAAGTAAGTGCAAAACATTCAGCAACCCATGTCTCAATGTATTTGGCTGGTAGACCCAAGGCTGTAAGTGCAATTTATTTTAACATTGTCAGGTTGATTCCAATTTATGGCATCCCTTTTCAGGGGTTTCTAGGTATAAGATACTCAGAAATGGTCTAACAATCCATTCTTCTGGGTGTACTTTGAGACTGTGTTGCTTGACCCAAGATGATACAGACTGCTTCTCACAGGAGGCACAGTGAGGAATCAGTTTCTTCCTTCAGATGAGTGAGCTACGTATCTAGCCAACTATAACTACTTGACACTGTCATTGTAGTAAAATTCAGTATGAAAACAGGCATGGTCACATAAAAAGTGACTGCATAAGTGACTTTGGAATGTTAGAGAAATATTTGCATTTTTCAGGTGGATTTGTCATGTATCTGAAGAAGCGATACAATCCATGAAAATGTATTCAAAATAAAAGTGGTTAAGTTTTAAGGTTCTACAAGACTAATATGACTACCCACCCTAGCAGTTTGACCCGCCCTTGTGTTTTGCCTGGATAGAATTTCATGCTTGGAAATGAAGGTGCCCGGTCCTGTGTGTTCTGTTAGAAGGTCTTGTACTGATGTTCTCAGCCTCCTCTGCCTGCTGCTTTAGAAAGTAGCAGGCATAGGAAATACTTGAGTCATTCTCTCCTACGACCAATAGAATAAGAAAGGTTATAATTTCCATTGGTGTTCATATGTGAACTAGGACCTATTGAGTCATAGCAACAGTTTGGATGAACAGATGCAGAAGTGAACATTACTTGTGTATGACCAAATGTCTTTGTGGATTTCTGATTCAGTATTGCTATCATGTGTCACACCTAGGTGGGTTGCGTACCAGCAGAAGTACTTCTGTGGAGAGCAATATGTATTGGAGAAAGGAAAATATAAATGTTTTTTGGACTGGGGAGGATCAAGTGATAATATCATGTCAATACGTCCTGTTAAATTGGTGAGTTATCATAGCCTACAAAATTATTTAATGCAGAGGATGACCAGAATTGATCAGCAAAATGAGATGCTTTGCAGTTTTAAAACTGTCCCATTGTGTAAAAAATGTTCTCTCATCCATTACATTCTGGCTTCTTTTTACAAAATTTATTCACCATTTTCCTATTCTGTTAGGAAAAGGATGGACAACTTTGGTAGACTTGTGGGCCAGATTTTAACTCCATTATTTGCCACTGGCCACAAGATGCCTGGAAAGAACCAAAAGTACCCCTGCAAATAAGAGAGGAAAATTGTTTGGTTACATATTTCAAATTTTAATTGAGAATGGGGTTGGGAAGGTGCCCTCAACCACTGTAAACTGTTGTTCCTGGAGACACCCAGGTGCTGATAAATCAAATATTTGACAAAAAAATGGAGTTCTTTTTCTTGTATTTAATCAAAAGTGCTGTCAAATTGAAGAAACATCCAGATTCACTTTGGGTACACTTCGAAGCCCCGTCATGGACTGCTGCCTTGTTGTGGCAAAGGGGCTTGAGTGATTCAGAGAAGCTATAGGCTGTGCCGTGCAGGGACACCCAAGACGGACAGGACATAGTGGAGAGTTCTGACTAAACGCAATCCACCTGGAGCAGGGACTGGCAAGCCACTCCAGTATCTTTGCCAAGAA